AAAAAACTGAAATTAAAAAATAAAACCCGGGTCTCGCCAGCCGCGACCCAGGGCATAAGGGCTGGGGGGGTGAGGGACAAGCTCCTAAGTGAGGCGGGCTGGAGGGCGCTGGAGGCCTGGTGTGAGCACCCAGCAGCCAGGGCTGGGCCGGCGACAACGAGCCACCGCCCCGCAGGACCCTGAACGGGCAGGGGAACCCAGGCGCCCGACCCCTGCTCCCAGGTCTGGGGGCTGCAGCCGGAACCGGGCCAGCAGATGGCGCCCGGTGCCCCGCCTGCGAGGCCCATTCGCGATCTAGAAGCGCTCCAGGATTTCCAGACAGCCGTGGCTGCAGCTGGGTCCGGGGGAAAAACCGGGGCTGGAGCACCCCTGCCCTCCTGCTCGTTCCCCCTTCTTAGTTCGGACTGGGGTCTAGGATTGCGGGCGGCTCGGGGCGGGGGAAGGGAGGGAAGGATGGGACTGGAATTTTTAGAATCCGAGGATTGGCTTTGCAAAGCGTCGCTGGTTTTGGGGGGGGACGGGAGGCGGGGACTCCCTAGGGAAGGTGACCGGGCCGGGGAGGGGCTTCGCTCTCCATAGGAACAAAGCGAGAGGAGAGAGGTGTGACGAGGGGCAGACCGCAGAAGATGCTAGGGGGCGCTGCAGGCCGGGGCTGGAACGCGCCTCGAAGACAGCTGTACCTGGGGCGGGGAGACGCTTTGGGGAGACCCAGGAAATACAGAGACGACGCCGAGTCAGGGATGCGGAGGCGCCCTCCCTGCTTCCATCAATAGTGCCTAATTAAGACAAAGCCAGCAGCGAGCACTGATTACATTTCCATGAGGAGCTAAATTGATGACATTTTCTTTGCTGGATGAGGAGAAGAGAAACTGGCACCCCAGTGCCCCCTTTTTCTGGTCTGTGTTCACACCTGACAGATCTCATGATGCCAGTCTGGCACTGCCACGAGTCTCTGGCACTCCTGAAAGGCGGGTGATCTATCCACACTCTGGCCAACCGTGACCTGAGCATCCCACCTACCCACCTTTACTTCCAGACCCCACAACCCCTGCCTTTCTCTCTCAGCCACCCCGCCCTCCATCCTCAAGGTGGATTTCCAGGCTCCGATTTATGGCCCCCTGCCCAGCCTAGATTCCTGATGCTGAAAGCAAGGACTGAAGAAGGGTCCTGCCGCACCCAAAACCAGCTGCAGAGCAAGCGGCGCAAAGACGGGGCGTAGGTGATCTTCCAACCAGATGGGCCATGGGTGGCAGAGTGGTGATGTGATTGGTCAGAACGCCCAGGGAAAAGTCTCAAAGGGCTGAAAATTGGAGGAGAGGCATGAGGTGGGGAGCCTCAGGAGCAAGGTTCATAGCTCCCTCAGGGAAAGGAGCTTCGTGTAACCCCATTTCTTCTCCAACTCCTCCCCCCAACACACACCCATAGCTGTGCCTAGGGATCCCAGCCCCCCACGTTATGCTAAATAGGTAATCAAACATCTCGCTTTGCTAATTACTGCTCAATCCGATTAAACGCTGCTGAAGCTCATCAACAGAGGTGGAGGTAGGGGAAAGGGATGGGGGGGCACCACAGCTGTAAGGGAGGGTCA